TGCACAGGGCACAGGGATGGGCAGCAGCTGCAAGACAGCCCTGCCAGAGCCAGCTTGGGCAGCACTTTGGCCATGGCTGCTGGGCCTGGGGCCAGGAGGGGACAAGTGACCCTTGCAGGCCTGGGGCCTCATTGCCTCCTTGTCCCTGCTCAGCAGCCTGGCAGGGGCCGCCCCACGCTCCTGCCCCTGGCATTGCACATCCCCACATGCCAGTGCCCATCCCGGGAAGAGCCCTGAGCAAGGAGGGAGGGACAGGATCTGCCTGGCCAGGCCCTGGGGCTCAGGCCTTGGCCCCTTGCATTCCTCAAACACATCCAGGTGTGCTCAGCACCAGAGACACCTTTGCCTTGCTTGTGCCAACTGGCATCACTGCCTGCAGTGTTCTGCTCTAGCTGGAACCTGGGGACGCTTTCTCAGCTGTGTCCCTGACAGGGATCTCTTCAAAGTACAAGAAACTTCAGTGTTTTATTAGAACTGAGTTCTTGAGGATTTTGTGACATCACTGAGGGGGTGGTGACATCACAGAACTGGCTGTGACATCACAGAGCTGGCTGTAACGTCACAGAGCATATTATGAGGCCATAGAGCAGAGTCTGCCATCATAGAGGGTGGCTCAATGGCATCAGAGGGTGGGTTGTGACATCACCTGGTGGCTGTGTGACATCATAGAGCAGGCTGTGACGTCACAAAACAGATTGTGACATGACAGGATGACTTTGGGATATCAGTCTTCTGTGATTTCACAGCACTGCTGTATGACAAGGTGACATAGAGTTGGCTCTGTGACCTCACAGGGGCAGTGTGACATCACAGGGGCAATAATAGTGACAATAGCAAAAAGAAGAATTAATAATGGTAATAAAAACCCTACCATGCTTATACTTGGTTTGCATGGCCAGGTTTTGGTAAGGGGGGGCTCTAGGAGCACCTTCTGTGAGAGGCTGCTGGAAGCAGCTGCTCCTCTGTGTCCCACAGAGTCAATTCCAGCCAGCTCCAGGATGCACCGGCCGCTGGCCAAGGCTGGGCCAGTTGGAAATGGTGGTAACACCTTTGGGGTAAGAGATTTAGGAAAATGGGTGATGGTGTAGGTGTAACTGTGAGCAGGGAAGAGCAGGGTGAGAACACGTGAGAGGAACAACTCTGCACACCCCAGGGCAGGGCAGGAGGAGGGGCAGGAGCTGCTCCAGGGGCTGGAGCTGATTGCCCTGAGATTCCCTGGGCAGCCCCTGGGGAGGCAGCTGGGCCCCTGCAGCCCATGGAGGGCCCGGAGAGCAGAGATGCACCTGCAGCGCCTGGAGGAGCCCGTGCTGGAGCAGGGGGTGCCTGAGCAGGGGCTGGGACCCCATGAGAAACCTGTGCTGGAGCAGGGACCCAGCAGGGACCTGCAAAGCCGTGGAGAGAGGAGCCCACGCTGGAGCAGGGTCCTGGCAGGACTTGTGAGCCCCTGGGAGAGTGAGGCAGCTGCAGCAGTTTGTGAAGAGCTGCTGTCCGTGAGATGAACTCACCTGTCGCAGACATCTTTCATGAAAAATCCTTTCTTAGGATTTTTCCTTGTGAGAAGCTGCAGTTTCAGCAACCAAAAGTAAACAATGGTTATCTGCTGCTGTGGAATGCAACAGGTAGACCCGTGATTGGTCTCCTGTGGGTGTTTGGATTTACTGACCACTCATGGCAGAGCTGGCTCTTGCTCTCTGTCTGAGACACAGACCTTTGTTATTCATTCTTTTCTATTCTTAGCTTAACTAGCTTCTTTTCCTTTCTATTTCTTTTTAGTATAGTCTTAATGTAACATATATCATAAAATAATAAATCAAGCCTTCTAATCATAGAGTCAACACTCTTGTCTCTTCTTCATCCTGAAAACCCTTGTGACCACGGTCACACCCACCCTGCAGAAGTTCATGGAGAAGTGTCTCCAGGAGGGACCCCTGGCACAGCAGGGGAACGACTCCTCTCCCTGAGCAGCAGGAGGAACAACGGGTGATGAACGGAGCAGAGCCCCCAGTGCCTGTCTGCCTGCACCACTGGGGGAGGAGCAGAGCTGGGAAGGAGGGAGGAACAGGCAGAAGGTGTTTGTGAAGCTTTATTTTACTTCTCACTATCCTGCCCTGATCTGGATAGAAATAAATTCAATTAATACCTGTAATTTCAAAAATGTTTTGCCTATGATGGCATTTGCTGAATGATCTGTCCCAGTCCTTAACTCAAGCCATGAAGCCTTCATTCTGTTTTTTCTCCTGTCCATCTCTGGAGGGGAGTGAGAGAGCAGCTTTGGTGGGTGCCTGGCATCCAGGCAGGGCCAAATGGCTACATGTTTCTCTTTTCTTTTTACTTTTTTTCCTTTCCCCTTTCCTTTTTCCTTTCCCCTTTCCTTTTTCCTTTCCTTTCCTTTCCTTTCCTTTCCTTTCCTTTCCTTTCCTTTCCTTTCCTTTCCTTTCTCCTTTCCTTTCCTTTTTCCTTTCCTTTCCTTTTTCCTTTTTCTCTCTCATTCTTTCTTTCTGTTCTTTTGTTCTTTCCAGAGGTCACAGTGCAGAGGTTGAGTGGGGCTTTGATGGAGGGAGTGGAGGTGGCGGGGAGTAGCGGGGACAGGAGGCACAGGGCTGTGGCACAGGCACCCGAGGGGCCCGGGCAGCTGGCAGGGGGCAAGGCCTGTCCCCCTGGGCCAGCAGCAGCCCCGTGCCCTGCCCAAGGCGCTGCCAGCAGGGGCTGGGCCCCAGAGGCAGGGGCAGAGCCCAGCCCCGGGGGCGGCGTTTGTGCCCCGAGCCCCGTCCAGCCCAGCCTGCCCCGAGTGCGCAGTGAGCGCTGGCATGGCTGCCCTGGACAGCGTGGCCTGCTGGGGACACTGAGAGCTGCCCCGCTGTGACCCTGCCCTGGGCACTGCACAGGCACCAACCCAACCCCAGCCAGCAGCACCCCTGGGCATGGCCCAGGCACTGGAGAGCATCACAGCCAGCCCTGCTGCTGCTGGGGATGTCCCAGGCACCAGAGCCCATCCCAGCCCTGCTGCTGCTGGGGATGTCCCAGGCACCAGAGCCCATCCCAGCCCCGCTGCTGCTGGGGATGTCCCAGGCACCAGAGCTCATCCCAGCCCTGTTCCTGGGATGTCACAGCCCCTACAAGTGTACCGGGTGTGGGAAGAGCTTCTCCCAGAGGTCAGCCTTGACCCAACACCAATGCAGCCAGCACTGAGGGAAGCCCTGCCAGTGCCCCCAGTGTGGGAAGAGCTCCGTGCGCTGCTCCAGCTCCATCCCCACGGGAGGATCCGCGCTGGATGATCCCCAGTGACCCCGGTGGGCAGAGCCCCGGTGATCCGTGGTGCCGGTGATCCCTGTTGGGAAGACACCTGGCTGGGGGCTCCACATCCTCCTGGCTCCTCATGGCCTGGGTCTTCTTTTCACATTTCTTCATTCTTTCCAAACACCCAAAACCTGGGTAAAAATAAAGATGTTGAACTAAGATGGGGCTTGAGAAGTGGGGGGCTGTTCCAGAGGTGTGGGGGATGCTGGGTCCGAGGGAGCTGAGAATTCCTGGGAAGGACTTGGAGGTTGCTCAGGGCTTTGGGGACATGAGGCCGAGCGGCTCCAGGTGCTTTGGAAGATGCTGGTGGAGATTCTGGGGCTGCTGATCAAGGACCTCCTGGCCTAGAACTGTCCCTGTGTCCCCTTGTCCCGCTTCCTGGTGTCCCCTGTAGCGGATACCCCCCTCCCTGCTGTCACTCCCCTTTCCTCCACCCATTCCCGCATCACCCCACTCCCAGTCCCGTCCTGCTCCATTCCCAGTATGGGCTCCATTCCCTGTCCCCATTCCCCATTCCCTGTCCCCATCCCCCATTCCCTGTCCCTGTCCCCGTTCCCATTCCTCATTCCCATTCCCGGTCCCCATTCCCATTCCCTGTCCCCATTCCCCGTCCCCATTCCCATTCCTATTCCCCATTCCCCATTCCCGGTCCCCACTCCCATTTGCCATTCGCCATTCCCCATCTCCCATCCCCATTCCCCATCCCCCATCCCCATTCCCTGTCCCCATTCCGTATTCCCTGTCCCCATTCCCCATTCCCTGTCCCCATTCCCGGTTCCCTCTCCCCGGACGCCGCCGCCATCGCTCCGGCCCCCCTCGGCCCTCACGTGACCATGCAAATCCCGCCCTGCTCCCGGCCACTCAATCCCAGCGCGCGATCGCTCCATGATTTGCATAACCACGCCCTCAGATTAGGCCCCGCCCCCGCCGGCTGCAGCCGCGTCCGGGCGCTGTTTGCTCCCAGTTCCCTCCCAGTGCTCCCAGTAAGAGCGGGACCGGCAGGGAGAGCGCTCCCAGTTCCCGCCCGCTGCTCTCACCATCGTTCCCAGTGCTCCCAGTAAGAGCGGGACCGGCAGGGAGAGCGCTCCCAGTTCCTGCCCGCTGCTCTCACCATCGTTCCCAGTGCTCCCGGTATCGCTCCCAGTGCCGGGCGTGGCGGGGCCGCTTTGGAACCCCCCCAGGGCAGAGCGCGGCTGCTTTTGGGTGCCGGCACTGCCCGGGCCGGGCCGGGAGCGGAGGAGGAGCGGGAGGGAGAGGAGGGACAGAGGAGGAGGAAAAGGAAAGGGAAAGAGAGAGAGAGGAGCGGGAAGAAGAGGAGGGCCAGAGGAGGAGGAAGAGGAGCAGCGGGAGGAGGAGCCGCAGCACCAACCCCACGCGGTTCCCCCGCTCGGGCCGCGGCTGCCCCGGTTCCGCCCCCTCCGGAAGCCGCAGGTGAGCGGGGAGGGGGAGTCGCCCCAAATCCATGGCGGAGAGGGGCGATCCCGGTGCAGAGGGACCCCCGGCAGCCTGGAGGGGTGGGGGAGGCTGGGGATGAGCGGGGTCCGGGCCCCCCGAGGCTGAAAGGGGCGCTGACTTCTCCAGCTGCACTTGGGCACCGGGACCATCAAACCCGACACGCTCAGCCCTTGTTTTGCCACCCAAACCAGGATTTCCCATTCCCAAACCTTGGCCAGGTGGAGGAGGCGACTGCGAGGAAGAAGAAGATGCCCCAGGACACCCAGACAGGTGAGGAGGAAGTCAGTGCCCCTTTCCCCCTCTCTCCTGCTCCATCTCCCAGCCCAGCACGGCCCCCGGCTGCAGGACAGCCTCACTGCTGATGCTGTCCAGCCAGGGATGCACTGGGGGGATCTCCTTCCCCTTCCCTGTGGCACGGAGGCAAATCCCATCCTCTCCTTGTCCTTCCTCCCCCAGGGAAGGAGCTGAGGATGGAGAGCAGGGAGGACAAATCCCCACAGCAGAACCTGGTGGCTGAGGCCATTTGGAGTGGCTCCAGGGCACAGGAATCCAACGGTGAGGAAAAAGTCCTGGAGATCCCACACAAGGAGGGGCTGCAAACGCAGATCACGGGGATCTGAGGAAGAAAGACCCACCTTGAGCCAGGAAGGTGACCACAGGTCGGAGTTGGGGGGAGCAGCTTCAGGATGGGGAGAAGCCCCACAAGTGCTCAGAATGTGGGAAGAGCTTCAGGTGGAGATCATCCCTGATCAACCATTGGAGAATCCACACAGAGGAACGGCCCTATGAGTGTGGACAGTGTGGGAAGAGCTTCAGGTGGAGCTCCCGCCTGAACTCCCACATGGGAATCCACACCAGGGAGAGGCCCTATGAGTGTGGGCAGTGTGGGAAGAGCTTCAGCCACAACTCCAACCTGATCTGCCACCAGTGCGTCCACACCGGGAGAGGCCCTACGGATGTCCTGAGTGTGGGAAGAGCTTCAGAGCCAAATCCAGCCTGATTTTCCACCAGAGGAGCCACACAGGGAATGGCCCTACGAGTGTGATGAATGCAGCAAGAGGTTTCAGGTCACCTCCAATCTCCTCCATCACCAGTGCACTCACACAGAGGAGAGGCCCTTCCGCTGCCCCGACTGCAGGAAGGGCTTCAGGGACAAGTGCAGTCTCCTCAGGCACCAGCTCATCCACTCCAGGGAGAGGCCCTACGAGTGTCCCAGGTGTGGGAAGAGCTTCAAGACCAGCTATGAAGTGACTGCCCACCAGAGGAGCCACACGGGGGAACGGCCCTACGAGCGTGGGGAGTGTGGGAAGAGCTTCAGGACGAGCTCCCACCTGAGTGCCCACCAGCACATCCACAGCGGGGAGAGGCCCTATGAGTGTGCCTGCTGTGGGAAGAGCTTCTCCAAGAGGTCAGCCTTGACCCAACACCAACGCATCCAGCTGTTGTGTTGTCTGTATAAGTTGGACTGTTCTGTTCCCCCTATCATGCAATAGTTGTGCCCTGGTTCTCCCTTTCCTCCTTTATGCTGCCAGTTATCCCAACTCCTCCCCAGTTGCCTTGGAGATTAATGTACCCTTCCTCAAATCCCTCCCCGGTGCCCTGTCCGTCACTCGGCGCTCCCACCCTTCTCTCTAGAACTCTCTAGAAACTTTCAGCTAGAGCATCGAGTGATTGGCTCAGGGGCTGGGGCCCCACCCTCAAATCCCCATTGGGGTTTTCCCTAAGTCAATCTTTTGTATCCCACTCCCCTCTGAAACCCTATCCGTCCAAGGACTGACTCCTCCCCTGTGTCCCTCCCTCCTTATAAGCTGTTGCAACTTCCCCCTGGCTCTCTTTGGTTGTCGGTTTCCCCTGGGACCCAATAAACCTGGATTCACCACAGCTGGAGAGCGCTCTCTTATTTCTGCTGACTGTAGCCATAAGCCAAGCCACGTCCTGCCACAAGGTAACACTGCTGTCACAGCACAGAGCGTTTGCCTTAGGTGCTGTCCCGAACCACGGAGATCGGGATAGTGCCCCCCTACTGCTAGCGGTGCTGGACAGCCGGCCGGGACGTCCGAGAAGGACAATCAATCAATCTTTCTCCAGCTGGACCGCTTCATCCAGCACTGAGGGAAGCTGTGGGAGTGCTCCCAGGGCGGGAAGAGCTTTGTGTGCTGCTCCAGCTCCACAGCTCCATCCCTCATTGGAGGATCAGCACTGGATGATCCCCAGTGACCCCGTTGGGCAGAGCCCTGGTGATCCGTGGTGCTGCTGATTTGTGTTAGGAAGACACCTGGCTGGCTCCTGGCTCCCCATGAGCACCTGGACACATCCACAGACCAACATCAGAAATCCATTGTGGAGAGCTGTCGCCCTGACTTTTGAAGATTTTTCTAAGCCTTCTGATGTTTACATTCTTGTAGCAAACTTTCTCACATACTTCCTGTAAATAACTTATTGTTTTGCATTCTTTTATGGAGGAGAAGAAATTTGATGGACTGTTAGTTTGTCCAGTGTCATTGGAGAGGTGGCACTGTCACCCTCCAATCCACTGTCACTTTTGGAAAACTATAAATGTTGGAGTCAGGAAATAAACTTCCCTTTTTTCACCTTGAGAACAGTGGTGTGTGCGCTCGTGTTGTTTCATGTCCTATAGCGACATGGAGCAGATTTGTCGACTTCTGACCCCAGAAAAATCTCACTTCTTGCGTCTTCCTGGTGGCATCAAGTAACGCTGGGTGGCCTTGGAGGTCTTCTCCAATACAAATCCATCATTTTAATTCTCTCTGCCCCACAGGCATCTTCTACAACCAAATCGGGTCAGACTGGGGCAAAACCCATGATTTTGGAGACAGTGGGGTTGGAAACCCCTCCAAAAAAGGTTCTTCCCACCCACCCAAGCACGTGGATGCTCTTCTGGCAGGGACACATAAATCCTTTTGGTTTTGCCTTCAAGCACAAAGGTTTCTGTTCATACCTTTGAAAGCCCTGAAATTGGGGTAAAAATACAGACATTGAACTAAGGCTTGGATGGGCACATGTGGGGACACAGCCCTGGGTGGGGACCTGAGTTGGAAGTGGCCATGGACAGGGACATGGGGGGACACAGCCATGGATGGTGACATGGGAGGACATGATCATGGATGGGGACATGAACTGGGACAGCATCAAGGCCACCACCTGTGCCACCACAGTGCCACCAGCACCTTCATCTCAGCCATGGCGCTGCCTGATGCAGTTCCTGTCACCACGTCCCCCCTGCCACCATTGTGGTGTCCCAGATGAATGTCACCACCCACCAGGGCAGGATGGGAACTTGTTCAGCTGGTGACAAGTGGCCCAGGAGTGAGTGACAGCCACCAGGGTGTCCCAGGGCCACCGCGCTCAGGGGACCCCAACCGCCCCTGGGGACAGGGCAAGGGTCAGTGTCACCCACAGGGGCCATGTGGGCCCATGCTGGGTGTCACTGGAGGCGTCCTGGTGGCAGCGTCCCCACAGGTGTGGTGACATTGTCCCCTGGTGTGTGTCCTGGTGGCATCGTGTCCCTTACATGTTGATGACCCAAGTTACATCATCCTTGTTCTCCTCCCCAGTTCTAGAATGTTCCCCACTCCTGCCTTCCTATTGGTTCCCGTTCCCTGCAGCTCCTCCCCTGAATCCCAGTTGGTTGTTGCCCTTTTGTCCCACCTTTGCACCACCCTTGTTCCCTCTGCCCATTGGCCCTCAGGCCCAAAGTGCGGTGGTGTTTGCAGGGTTCCCAGGACGAGGGAAGAGACGAGAATCTTGACTCCATGTTTCAGAAGGCTGATTTATTATTGATGATATATATTATCTTAAAAGAAAATGATATATTAAAACTATACTAAAAGAATTGAAGAGAGGATTTCATCAGAAGGCAAGCAGGGAATAGAAAAGAATGATAACAAAAGCTCATGACTGTCAGAGTCCAAGCCAGCTGACTGTGATTGGCCATTAATTAGAAACAACCAACATGGACCAATCAAAGATGCACCTGTTGCATTCCACAGCAGCAGATAATTATTGTTTTTCTTTTGCTGTGAGGCTTCTCAGCTTCTCAGTTTCAGAAAATATCATGGCGACACCAAAGCTCCCCCTCCCTTGTCCCATATAAAACCCTGGACCCTGCTTTGTTCTTGGTTCTTGGTGCCTGGACCCCTCGGGTGTGTTGGCCCATAAAGCACCCCTGGAACTCCAAGCAGGGATCCCCTCCCGCCTGTTTTCTCCCTGAGCTGCAATCACCATCGGCCTGGTGCTCGCTGAGCCATCCCTTTCCTAGAGGAGATGCCCTGGGGAAGGCAGTGCCTGGTGCTGGGGATGGGCACTGGGGACTGCTTTGGGCTGGGGAGACTGAACTTCCTTCCAGGGGCTTCTCTGGGGCAGGGCTTGGATTTGGCCTGGAAACAGAGGGAAGGTTCCAGGAGGGTTTTGTTCCTGCCCAGAGCCGAGGCCTTTCCTGTTCCTCATCCTGCCCTGGCAGCGAGGGCTTGGGGAGCACCAGAAAGGGGCAGAGACGCAGCTGGGACAGTGACCTGACTTGACCCCAGGGCATTCCCAGACCATGTGGAAGAAGAATCAGTCTGGAAAGAGGGGGAAGAAGCAGAAAGGGGGGGATGCTGGCAGTGATGGCATTTGTGTCCCCAGGTCACCATTGCCTGGGGTGGAGCCCTGCTCACCTGGGCAGGGATGAACACCCACCTGCCCGTGGGAAGCAGGGAATGAATTCCTGGTTTTGCTTCCTTGCACAGCTTTTCCTTCCCCCATGGACCTGTCTGAGTCTGAGCCCAGGAGTTGGGGCTCTTTGTCTCTTTCACTGCCTGGATTCTCCCCCATGGGGTGCTCCAAGGAACTGAGCCTGAGGCCAGAGAAGGAGACAGGAGAGATGGAGCTGTGCACTGTGGCCATGGCAACAAGCAGGGCACCCTCACCCTCAGGCACAGAAACGGGCAGATGGGATTTTACACCCTTCCCTGCTGTTTGCATTTCCTGCAAGCTTTCTTCAGTGTTGCTGGCAATATTTTTGTACTTTTTCAAGTGATTTACACAACACCTCACAGGACACACTCACAGGATCAGGAGAATTATGTGATATCCCATGGATTCATGTCCCTAGGAAATACCAAGGCTCTAGTTGATTAGTTACTGTTTGAGCCTAGAAGTGGGCAGTACAAACTTCCATTTTTCACTTTCAAGTGCTCATGGGGAAAGCACAGCATATTCTTCCAGATCTCTGCACAATATTTGTTAGCTACATACAATAACAAATCTCATTTACATCGCTGCTCAACAGCTCAACGTAAGGAACCCAAACTACTGGCCTATCCCTAAGACTACACAAAAAGAAGAAAACAAATCTATTTTGCTTCCCACTTCACCTGCATTTGGGATTTTTGATTTTGCATTATATTTTAACATGTACTTGTAGTTTTCTTGTTATGTCTAGGCTCTGAAGTAGGGTTTGTCGTTGTTGTGAAACCAAGATTAATCAAGGAATAATACAGAAATAGATGTTCTAATCTATCCTTACACTTCTGCTGGTCCCTAGGAAGGCTGGTGGGTGATTTCTGTCTGTGTTCAAATATTTAAAGCAATAACAAATAGTCCCATACTTGATATTTCAGATAAACAATTTAATGGCATCTTAACATTGTTTTCACGATCTTATACCGTGCATATTTTACTCCTTATGAAGCTGAAATCTTTTTAAATACAAGCAATTCTACTGAAATTCTAGAAGTTTCAAAACCATTTTAACATACTGAAAACAAAACAGTCTAAAAAGACAGGTCTAACAGCCATTAAAATGCAGGAAAAAGCAAGAGGACTTCAGGTAAAAGAACATACATTGAACAGCAACATTTCTTCCACTATGTATTTATGTGTTAAGAAAAATGGAGTAAATTTAAAAGAACAGAAGTTCTTTAAAACCAGACTTTCTAATGCCAGAAACAGCTTTGAAACAACTTTCTATGCAGTTCTATTTATTTCAAAATTTAAAATTGGCCAATTTTTGTCCCAACATTTTGAAGCCCAAGGGAGGAAAGGTGGAAAAGGCTCTGCAGGGGTTGCAGTTATAGATCTATAAAGTTCATATGTGTAAAGGAATGAACACAGTATTGAACACACTGAGTATGACAGAAAAATGCAACAAAGCACTAACTCTGAGAGAAAAACAACCCTGCAAGCAATGCCAGGGCACTGGGTATTTCTGCATTTTAAGCAAAGAACTTTACAACATCTTTAATTTTCCTTTTCCTGTCCATTTTGGAGAGCGCAGCCCAGCCCGCCTCGCGCATTCTCCTCATGGTTTTGAGTTTCAGAGCAGAGCCTGGAGATTTCACACTGGATGGAGCTGGGGTCTAGGAAGGAAAATAAAGCCATCCTTTAGTTTCAGTAAACAATCTGATTAACTGCTTGCTTTAATCTTAGGAAAGGCTAACATACCTTTTTTGGTGCTGTGGAATGTAATTGTGAAGCTTGTGGAAAATCTTTGTACAAATTTTTAAACATTTCTTCTTCCGAGACTATGCTCTAATAAATGAAAAAGTTACTTACTCACACTATATTAAAAACTACTTTTTCTTTCCCCCTAAGGATATTAAACTATGAAAAATAAAAAAATTAAGATGTCATTATGAGGCAAAACAGTTCA